AACTCCTGGGCTCAAGCGAGTCTCCTGCCTCTGCCTCCCAAGTAGCTGGGACCACAGGCGCCCGCCACAACGCCCGGCTATTTTTTTGGTTGCAGTCATTATTGTTGTTTAGTGGGTCCGGGCTGGATTCGAACCAGCCACCTTAGGTGTATGTGGCTGGCACCTTAGCCGCTTGAGCCACAGGCGTCGAGCCCATATATTCTTTAAAAAAAAAATCTTTCTTCAATTTCTTTACAGTTAGGACATTATATTAACTTATTTCTTTAAATGGTAGTAGGTTATATTATCTATGCATTTCAATTCAAGATGATAGGCTTGGCACCTGTAGCTCAGTGATTAGGGCACCAGCCACAAACACTAAGCAGGTTCAAACCTAGCCTGGGACTGCTAAACAACGACAACTGCAACAAAAAAAATAGCTGGGTGTTGTGGCAGGCACCTGTAGTCCTAGCTACTTGGGAGGCTAAGGCAAAAGAATCATTTAAGCCCATGAGTTAGAGGTTGCTGTGAGCTGTGATGCCACAGCACTCTACCCAGGGTAACACAGTAAGACTCTGTCTCAAAATAAATAAAAATAAATAAATAAATAAGTAAATTCAGGATGATAAAGGTGGCATTTGCAATATAGGTGGATGCTGGCCTGAAAGGATTAGAAAATACTGGTCTCAGCCACATGGTAACCTGGTAGTAACTGAATCTCCCCCACCTAGCCAGTATGATGAGTCACAGTATTTTCCAGCCTGATAGTAGCATCTAATACCAGACATATGACATCCGTCTTGTCACAGAGGTTTCTGGAGAATGATATAAAAAAGGTATCACAGTGTTTTTGAGGGGTAAAATGACCCCTTTACTAGTACTAGAAGGCCAGCAGCAATGACAAGGCAGGCAGTGCTCTTACTAGGATGAGCCCACTAGAAGAATAAAAGAACAAGGTAATATTGGTTCTTAGAAAAAAGCTAATGGTGGCTCAGAGCCTGTAGTTCAACGTCTAGGGCTCCAGCCACATAGACCAGAGCTGGCGGGTTTGAATATAGCCCAGGCCAGCCAAACAATGACAACTACATCAAAAAATAGCCGGGTGTTGTGGCGGGCGCCTGTAGTCCCAGCTACTTGGGAGGCTGAGGCAAGAGAATTGCTTAAGCCCAAGAGTTTGAGGTTGCTATGAGGTGTGATGCCATGGCACTCTACTGAGGGCTACATAGTAAGATTCTGTCTCAAAAAAAGAAAAAGAAAAAGAAAGAGATAAAAGGTAATGGCTTTTCTTCTTATCCTTCCCGCACCCACCCTGTATTTCTTCTTTATGGACATTTACTTACCTCAGCTGCAGTAAATTTTTCCCTTGGCCCAGCTGTAATCCACAGTTTTGCCCCAATTAGCTTCTCAGATGTGATTTCATCTTTTAAGCTAGAAATACGATTTTCAAAGTAGCTGTTAAATTCATAATTCAAACAAATTTATGAATTATTTTAGCCTCTCTACTAAATCAGAGGCCACAGTGGCCAAGAGATAAAGGGACTTAGAGGTTCCCCCACTCTCCCAAAGGGATATTCCCCTCTACAGGCCTGCCCCTCAGAGTCATTCAGCCTGTGTTCAAATACTTCCAGTAAGCCAGATCATAAAAAAGGTCCTCTATTACTAATTCAATCAGCTCTACCATCAGCATGTATACCTCACCCATTAAAAAAAAAAATACAGGTTGGGTGCCTGTAGGTCATTGGTTAGGGTGCTGGCCACACGCTTCAGGGCTGATATGTTCAAAACCAGCCCAGGCCTGCTACACACAAAAATACAGCCAGGCATTATGGCGGGCACCTATAGTCCCAGCTACTAGGGAGGCTGAAGCAAGAGAATCGCTTAAGCCCAAAAGTTTGAGGTTGCTGTGAGCTGTGACACCAAGGTACTCTGCTGAGGGTGACAAAGTGAGACTCTGTCTCAAAAAAAAATAATAATAGTAATTTATTTAATTCTGAATGATATGTATTTATTTATTTTTTGAGACAGAGTTTCAAGCTGTCACCCTGTGTAGAGTGCTGTAGTGTCACAGCTCACAACAACCTCAAACTCTTGCGCTTAAGTGATTCTCTTGCCTCAGCTTCCCAAGTAGCTGGGACTACAGAGCCTACCATAACACTTAACTATTTTTTGTTGTTGTTGTTGTTGCAGTTGTCATTGTTGTTTTAGCTGGCCTGGGCTCCAACCCACCAGCCTCAGTGTATGTGGCTGGCGCCCTACCCACTGAATGATCTTTAAATTGAGCTCCTCCCACCTAAACAATCTATGTTATATAATAACAATTTTTTGGTTTTACCAGCAGGCTACTGTTATCACTTAGAAGGAAAACAATACAAATGGTCACACTCACCTCTGAATCTTCCAGTTACTCCGGAGTTTCTTTTGCATGGATTTATAGCCATTGTTGGTGGTAAATAGCTCCTTTTTGTATGCATTAAATAGTATGGTGCTCCGGAGTTCTTTCTCCATGGTTACCTTATGGAAGGAAGATAAGGAAAACAATAAATAATAGTTCAAAAGGGGTGGCGTGTGTGGCTCAGTGAGTAGGGCTCTGGCCCCATATACGGAGGGTGGCGGGTTTGTATCCAGACTGGCCAAACTGCAACAACAACAAAATAATAATAGTTCAAAAGAAAAACCCCCGAAGGCTTAAATAGTTGCCTTCCACTTCTAATTTACCCAAAAAAAGGGTATACCTGTCCTGCAACCTATCTATGAAAACCCCACAATTCTCAAAGGTTGAAAGCAAAATGCAAAATCATAGATGCATGGCTCAGTGCCCGTAGCTTGGTCGTTAGGGCACCGGCCACATGCACTGGGACTAGCAGGCTTGAACTGGGCCTGGGTGTGCTGAGAATACTGACAACACCACCAACAATGACAAAAAAAAAGTTCGGGTGTTGTGGCTGGCACCTGTAGTCCCAGCTACTTGGAAGACTGAGGAAAGAGAATCACTTAAGCCCAAGAGTTTGAGGTTGCTATGAGCTGTGATGCCACAGCACTCTACCGAGGG